AGGATGTTCCATCATGGGGCTGGGGGGCTTCTACTGTGGGGTAGGAGACCATGAGGAACCCTAAGGAGCTTCTGCCATGGGGCTGAGGGACTTCCACTATGGGGCTGGGAGGCTGGGGGGCTTCTACTATGGGGTAGGGGACCATGAGGAACCCTAAGGAGCTTCTGCCATGGGGCTGGGGGGCTTCCACTATGGGGTAGGAGACCATGAGGAGCCCTAAGGAGCTTCCACTATGGGGCTGGGGGGCTGGGGTCTTCCACTATGGGGTAGGACGTCATGAGGATGTTCCATCATGGGGCTGGGGGGCTTCTACTGTGGGGTAGGAGACCATGAGGAACCCTAAGGAGCTTCTGCCATGGGGCTGAGGGACTTCCACTATGGGGCTGGGAGGCTGGGGGGCTTCTACTATGGGGTAGGGGACCATGAGGAACCCTAAGGAGCTTCTGCCATGGGGCTGGGGGGCTTCCACTATGGGGTAGGAGACCATGAGGAGCCCTAAGGAGCTTCCACTATGGGGCTGGGGGACTGGGGGGCTTCCTCTATGGGGTAGGAGACCATGAGGAACCCTAAGGACCTTCTGCCATGGGGCTGGGGGGCTTCCACTATGGGGTAGACACCATGAGGAGCCCTAAGGAGCTTCTACTATGGGGTTGGGGGGCTTCTACTATGGGGTGGGACACCATAAGGATGTTCCATCATGGGGCTGGGGGGCTTCCACTATGGGGTAGGAGACCATGAGGAGCCCTAAGGACCTTCTGCCATGGGGCTGGGGAACTTCCACTATGGGGTAGGAGACCATGAGGAGCTCAGGTGGTGGGGCTGGACACCGTGGGGGGAGCTGGTTCCATGGGGCTGGGTTTCTGTGGGGTGGGGCTGCCGTGGGGCAGAGCCACCCTCTCCCCCCTCCCCAGGCCTCGGAGCTGGGCATGACGTCGGCTTTCTACAAGTACATCCTGACCACCATGGTGAGTCCTCCCCGTGACCTCTGACCCCGTGGCCGTGACTCCATGACCTTCCGTGACCAAGACCATGACCATGACCCCCCATGACCCCATGACCATGACCTCATCACCAAGACCCATGACCATGACCCCATGACTTCCATGACCATGACCATGACCTCCATGACCATGACCCCCATGACCTTCCATGACCATGACCCCCCATTACTTCCATGACCATGACCTTCCATGACCATGACCCCATGACCTTCCATGACCATGACCTCCATGACCCCACGACCCCATGACCTTCTATGACCATGACCTCATGACTTCCATGACCATGACCATGACCTCCATGACCACGACTTCCATGACCTTCCATGACCATGACCATGACCCCCATAACCATGACCTCCATGACCATGACCCCATGACCATGACCTCATGACCAAGACCCATTACCATGACCCCATGACTTCCATGACCATGACCCTCCATGACCATGACCCCCATGACCTTCCATGGCCATGACCCCCCTGACTTCCATGACCATGACCTCCATGACCATGACCCCCATGATCTTCCATGACCATGACCCTCCATGACCATGACCTCCATGACCATGACCTCCACGACCATGACCCCCCGTGACCCCCCGTGACCCCCTGTGACCCCCCAGGACTTCCCTCTGCTGCGGCTGGACGCGCTGGCGGACGCTCCCTCCACCGTCCTGGGCTTCTCCATGTTCAACACCAGCCACCCCTTCTACCTGGAGTTCGTCCGAAGCCTCAACATGTCCTGGCGCGAGAACTGCGAGCTCAGCCCCTACCCCGGCCCCGCGGTGAGGGGGGACCCCAAAAACCCCCGGGGGGACCCCAAAACCCCCACGGGGACCCCAAAACCCCGGGGAGAACCCTCAGCCCCAAGGGGAACCTCAAAGCCTTGGTGGGAACTCAAGCATCTTCGGGGGAACCCAAGCATCCAGGGGAGGTTGGGGGTGGAGCCTGGGGGCAGGGGGGACCCCAAAAGTCCAGGGGAGACCCCAAGAAACCCCATGGGGACCCCAAAACCCCACGGGGACCCCAAAACCCCGGGGGAGAACCCTCCGCC